ATAGTTTTAACTTATAAGGTTTGACAATTTAAAACAAGGGGTTTCTTAGTATTTTGTACTGTAACCAAAAAATCTAAAAATTATATAAACACAGTTTTTTTAAAAATGGGTATATTTTATGTTCTAATTTTATATATTTAGATACAAGAAAAATTTTTTATTTTAGATTCTGAGCGGAGCGATGAATGTATTGGTTTTACAATGATGTATGTTTTTATATATTTTTTTTTTTTTTTTTTTTTTTTGTGTCTGTCATCACGTTTTAGGAAATGGTAAATTGTTATGTTTGTAATTTGTATCACAATACGACGAACCTATCGCGCAGTCAATATTGTCAATTTTTGTTGCTGACTGCTGTTATTATTAATTTATCGTAACATTTTTAAGTATATTATATTATATTTTAATTTATTTTATATTACCTAATAGTTGTTATTACTTTAGATCAGTGGCGTTAGGTTAAGATGTGTTATATTTTAATAACAGTTTTAAGTATAACTTATATCTATAGGAAGTAGGAACCTAATAACTAATCAATATAAAATAATATAGTATTTAAATACCCTTGATTGAGCTCCAGCTCTGGTAAGTAGATAATGTAGGTATTTGTTTGGTTGTTTGGGTTCACACTTAATACCCATGTTTAAAATAGTAAACAGATCGAGTAGGTATTTGGAACTTATAAAATGTATGTTAAGAATTTAAGCCTTAAGAGTTAAGGTACATAGATTTTCATAAGTGATATAGACTCTAATGCATCCAATAAAATGAATAGGTAACTAATTAATTTCCCATCGCCTTAGTTCTTGTAGTTTCTTAAAAAAATGTAACTACTGTAGGTACATTAATACGAGTTTGGTCTAAAACAAATGTTGCAAATTCGTGTTGGAAATATATATTTAATTAAACATAACATAATAAGTCATTGCATAAATAATTTTTTTTTTTTTGGGGGGGAGGGGGGGTCATCAAAAGCTATGTTTTTTTCCAGATAACTAAGCACCCGTATTAACCAATATTAACCCGAATAATAGTGGTTTTGAAAACCCGAATGTTTGTTTAAACTTTTTATTCGGGTGTTTGAACACCCGAATATATCCAGCACCCGAAACCCGAAACCCGAATAAATGATTCGGGTGCAAAGCCCTGATTATAACTTATAAGATATAATTATTTATTATAACATAATGTGGATGATGGCAAAGCTGGGCAAGTTAATCAATTTTTTTAACTAGTTAAATTTAAGTTATCCTTAAATAAAAAATAACTATGCTAAGTTAAAGTTCATTAGTCTTTTATAAATTATCATATTAAATTATTAATATACTGTATTAATACGTCTGGGGTAATTGTTTACTCCGTGCGCAAAACGAAGAATTAAATTAAATTACATTTTTTTACATGGAGTTGACATAGTATTTTTGTTGGTATATTATTAGTTTTTATAAATTATCATATAAATATTATATATTATTATTTATTTTAATAGTTTATAATATTTATATTGCCATTTCCATGGCGCGTTTATAATAATATTATTAAAAATTATTAATTTGGTCCATTTATTAGACCTGTAGCCTAGGTCATGTGCTATGCCTTCTTTTTTAGATTCTGAGCGGAGCGATGAATGTATTGGTTTTACAATGATGTATGTTTTTATATTTTTATATTTTTTTTTATATTTTTGTGTCTGTCATCACGTTTTAGGAAAGTAAAAGTGCTTGGATTTTCTTCATAAGTAGCTTTTCTGATAGGAAAGTGAATCTAGTTGGTATTTTGGTGGGGGGGGGTCAAAAGTATAAATTTCCCAGTAGTTTTCACAAGCGCCGCGAAAAACAACATAAAAATTAAGGAAAAACGGGAATTTTTACGCTTAATTGGTTTTCCAAAAAATCGATTTTGGTTATTGGTGTAACTCTAAAACAAATGAACGTATATACATGAAATTTTCACTGGTTGTTTATATTTGCATTTTCTATACACGATAACATTTTCAAAATATTTTGATTTATTTTGAACTGTTTAGGAACATTTTCATTTTCCATTTTTTTTTAGTTTTTTTCTAAAAATATCAATAAAATTTTATTTGTTGGTTGCGAAAGCTTGAAAATTTAATAGAAGACTCCTAATTTATTGTTTCAAAGGCAGATGAAAAATATTAAAAATCCTTAGTCACATTTTTTTTTTATAAGCATTGAAAAATCACGAAAATTAGCAAATTATTTTGAGTTAAGAATTCGTAAAAATTTTTCTTTTTAAATCTAAGATTTGAAAATGAAACACAAGATTCCTTATAAGATTATCTACCTTTATCAAAAAAAAATCTCTACCGGACAGTCAAATTAAATTTTTATGTGCGTTTGAAATTCAAATTTTTACAACATTGGATTTTCACTCGATTACTCATGTAGCGATTTCCTTATTTTGTTCCAATTCAAAAACGAACAACTGTAGATACATGAAAATTTCACAGAATGTTTAAATTAGCATTTTCTATACACCATACAATTTTGAAAATATTTTAACTCTTTTTGAGCTGTTTATGGACATTTACAGCTTTCAATTTTTTTTAGTTTTTTTTTCTATAAATATCAATAAAGTTTTATCTGTTGGGCCGAAAAGTGTAAAAATTTAATACAAGGCTCCTGATATATTGCTACAATAGCAGTTGAAAAATATTAAAAATACATAGGCACAGTTTTTTTTTATAAGCATTTAAAGATCAAATTTTGACAAAATTTATCAAAATCTCGAAAATTATCAATCATTGTAATTAATAAATTATAAAATGTTCAGTTTTTATAGCTAAGGATTACAAATTCAACACAAAGGTTCTCATAAATAGTTCATACTATAACTAAAAAATCTAAAAAATATATGAACACACTTATTTTTTACAGACATTTTAAATTCAAATTTGGACGAAATTACATATTAAAAAACCTAGAATAACTATTTTAGTTATTTTGTTGTGATTGAATAATATTATTCGTGGGTACTTGAAACTTCTAAAGTGTACTATTATATATCTATGATAGTATCACGGTTTTTGTTGATGTATAACGCGTTATAAGTATCTAATGGATATTGTGATATGATTAACTTGGAATTTATTATAGGTACCTATTATAGGTCAATTTTTTGTTTAATACCATAGATATGTATATAATATGTCTTATACATAGACTGACATACCGTCACCACTCAGAATCGTTTTTCTTATACAATGATATTATATCATTGAATTCAAATTTAATACCATCCATTATACAGTGACCTACTTGTAACCTACTGTACAGCAGAGCGACACCCACTTGCCCACCTTTTTTTCGTATTAATTTATAAATATTATTCGTGGGTACTGGGTACCTATTTGAAACATATAAAGTACCTATATGAAATTTAATGTAATCGGCCAAAAATGAATTCAACCTATAGAATACTGTTTGGGTATGGCCGAATTGCACTTATTGTAGTCGAACTGCTCTTGGGCTCAAAAAAGGTACCTTTTCCGACAAAAATATCATGCATTTGAAGATGTTAAACGTTTATAATACATTCGTTTCCTTTACCACTAAGAGCTTAGGACTGACAATGATTGTTAAAAATATTAAAAGTTAAAAATGATTGTTCTATACATACCATCGACCATTATGTTAATATATAATATTAAATAAACATATTATACTAAATCATCAAATATTATTATTGTCATTATTATAACATTTTTTTTTTTTATAACTAATGTTGATAATTTTTGTAGTAATAATATATATTATATTATTGTTTTATTTTTTTTTAAATCGTCAAATATTATTATTTTTTTTTTTAATTTTAGATTCTGAGCGGAGCGATGAATGTAATGGTTTTACAATGATGTGTGTTTTTTTTTATATTTTTTATTTTATATTTTTTTTTGTGTCTGTCATCACGTTTTAGGACAGTAAAAGTGCTTGGATTTTCTTCAACAGTAGCTTTTCTGATAGGAAAGTGAATCTAGTTGGTACTTTGGGGGGTCAAAAGTAAAAATTTCCCAGTAGTTTTCACAAGCGCCGCGAAGAACAACATAAAAATTAAGGAAAAACGGGAATTTTTACGCAAAATAGGTTTCCGAAAAAATCGATATTGGTTTTTGGTGTAACTCTAAAAGAAATTAACGTATATACATGAAATTTTCACTGGTTGTTTATATTTGCATTTTATATACACGATAACGTTTTAAAAATATTTTGATTTATTTTGAACTGTTTAGGTACTTTTTCATTTTCCATTTTTTTTTAGTTTTTTTTCTAAAAATATCAATAAAATTTTATTTGTTGGTTGCGAAAGCTTGAAAATTTAATAGAAGGCTCCTAATATATTAATTCAAAGGCAGATGAAAAATATTAAAAATCCTTAGTCACAATTTTTTTTTATAAGCATTTAAAGTTCAAAAATTGTAAAAATATGGAAAAATCACGAAAATTAGCGAATTATTTTGAGTTAAGAATTCGTAAAAATTTTTATTTTTATATCTAAGATTTGAAAATGTAATACAAGATTACTCATAAGTTTGTCTACCTTTATCAATAAAAAATCTCTACCGGAATGTCAAATTAAATTTTTATGAGCGTTTGAAATTCAAATTTTTACAATATTGGATGTTCACTCGATTTCTCATGTAGCGATTTCCTTATTTTGTTGTAATTCAAAAACGAATAACTGTAGATACATGAAAATTTCACTGAATGTTTATACAGTAAAACCTCTGAATAGCGGACACTCACGGGACCGACCAAATTGTCCGCTATTGAGAGGTGTCCGCTATTGGGAAAAATTGATAAAATAATATGTATGTATTTATGTCTGAAAATTTAAATTTTATTGACTTTTTAAACATTTATTTATCATTACATAATTTATTATAATTAGACGTAATAAAATTTTATTGACTTTTTAAACATTTATTTATCATTACATAGTTTATTATAATTAGACGTAATAAAATATGTTATACAAAATTACTTATTGAAAAAAAAATCCGAAATTTTAGTTTGTTTTTTTTCTTGTATTGCAATTGCCTCAAAATTAGACTGGAGTTGATTAACTAGTGACAATGAAACTGCATCACTCTTATTGAGACAAAACGTCTTCAGTTTATTCGCTAACTGTAATGCTTCTTTGAGTGTTATTTTTTCTTCGTCTACACCGTCTGTACTATCTTCTTCTTGTTCCACGTCATGACTTTCATCCTCACTCATGCCATCATTGATTATGTCTTCAATGTTCAATGATAAGTCTTCGGTTTGTAAGCATTCATCTATTGACGAATAGTCCTGTGCATTTGTTGGATATATTGTTGAAACTAGTTTCGTTAACTCATTACTCAGATCCTCTACTTGTGTTAATTTACCAATATTATCTGACCCCGGAAACCCGGCTTTTATGAAACATTTAGTGACCGTTTCCTTGTTTATTTTTTTTAAAGCTGCTGTAGTCCACATAACTGCCTCAAGAACTGTCACATTTGGTTTTTTTATATTTTCGTTATCTATAGACGAAATTACGTGTTTTAAAAGATTTATGCGGTAATGAGTTTTGAAATTTTTTATAATGCCTAGGTCAAGAGGTTGGCAAGTTGAAGTTACATTTGGTGGAAAGAATGCGAGTTTCACATTCTGTAAATTCAAATGAGGATGACTAGTCGCATTATCAAGAAAAAGGATAATCTTCCGGCCTTGCATTTTTCTATCGAAATTCGATAACCATTCTTTCATTAATTCTTGTGTCATCCAAGCTTTACGATTAGCCTTCCACGTTACTCCAAGATCGTTGACGATTATGTTCTTAAAACACCGGGGTTTTAACGCCTTTCCAATCACCAAAGGTGTTTCAAAATCGCCTTCCATATTAACACACAACATAACTGTAATTCGTTCTTTACTTATTTTTCCACCACTGCAGTTCTCACCTTTGAGACACATTGTTTTATTGGGTAAAGCACGAAAAAATAAGCCAGTTTCATCTAAATTAAAAATATTTTTTGGAATAAATCCTTCACATATTTCGACTAATTTATTATTCCAGTCGTCCACAATATCATGGTCAACGGAACTACTTTCTCCACAGATAGCTTTATAAGCAATATTGTGACGTTTGCGAAATTTTTCGAGCCATCCATTAGACGCTTTAAAATTAGTTCTACCCAAAGTTTTAGCAATTTCTATAGCTTTTTGCTGTATGAGAGGACCAGAGATAGGCAAATTTTTAGCACGGACGCGGCAGAACCATTCATAACACACATGGTCTATTTCAAAGCCCTTACCTTCAATAAAATTCTTTTTTGTCTCTCCATTCACGTTTTCATCACACCATTTACGCAATAGATCTACCCGGGACTTGAGTATGGTTCCAATTTGAGTTTTACCAACTTTAAATTGAGTCGCTAATTCACGAACACTTTGTTTTTTTGCATCATAACATTTTATTATGTCGATTTTATTTTTCAACGTCAAACGCGACCGTACCGGAGCCATGGTAAATACGATACTAACGGACAATGCTATTGATATCAGTACCTAAGTCATAACATCACTATCGTTCGTACCTATAGGTTCTTATTTAATTTTGTAATTTTTCATACCTTATCGTATTCATTAAATTACGATTTAGATAAATGTCTTTATCGGTAAAATATCGGTACATATTGTATTGTATACCTACACAATAAGTTTGTATTTCTTGGACAGCTGTACGTTATTTAGATATATTTAAACACTTCGGACTACCTAACCTGTCCGCGTCCGTTATTCAGAGGTGTCCGCTATTTAGAGGAGCATTATCTATTATTTTCAACGGGACTATGCCGGGACCGGAAATTTTGCCCGTTATTGAGAGGTGTCCGCTAATTAGAGGTGTCCGTTAAGAGAGGTTTCACTGTATTAGCATTTCCTATACACCTATATTAGGTGTTATAAGTACCTAATGGATATTTTGATATGATTAATTTTGGAATTTATTATAGGTACCTATTATAGGTCAATTTTTTGTTTAATACCATAGATATGTATATAATATGTCTTATACATAGACTGACATACTGTCTCCGCTCAGAATCGTTTTTCTTATACAATGATATTATATCGTTGAATTCAAATTTAATATCATCCATTATACAGTGACCCACTTGTAACCTACTGTACAGCAGAGCGACACCCACTTGCCCACCTTTTTATAATTTATTATTAGTAATTATTTTTTTAAATCGTCAAATATTGTTATAATAATAAAAGTGAACGTCCATATATACCTGAAATTTTAACCCTTTTTTTTTAACGAGTGCAGTTCGACTATTACCTTTTTTGAACTCAAGTGAAAATAACCATTTCTTTTTAGGTAATAAGTGCAATTCGACTATCCCCTATTGTTTTACTAATAGTAAAATAAATTAATATGATAAAATATATACTTTAATAGGTACCTCATAGGCGTAGGGTGATCAAATATATTGGGGGGCTGCAAAAACAGTTAATAATAATTAAAAAAAACTCCATAAACTACATGAAATACAAATAATTCTGGGGGGCTAATATTCACACTTGGGGGGAGCTAGCCTCCCTAGCTACGCCTATGAGCTACCTACTTAGTAATATAGGCTGACAAGCTTTCACTCAAATTTCGTTTTTCGTATAATTGGAAAGAATTATCATCGAGTTCAAAATTAACATGTGTAATTTTTTTTCAGGTTAGGTTAGGAATAATTTTTTCACTGTGTAGGCGTAGGAACAAACATACGCAACTTTTTTTACAGTGTAAGAACTTGCATGTTGGGTATAGCATTTTTTCCACATTCTAGGAACTAACATTTATAATAGGTCTATGGTAAGAAAATATTATATTATAATATTATCTAGATGCTAGAACTTAATAATTAATTACATCGCTTGTGAATTACTTTATTTATGAATTTTCAGTAGATATAGGCCGTAGGCTACACAATGAAAAAAATTAATTTAATAATTTATATAAATAAATAACTTACACCTATACTTAATAGCTACAACTAAACTTAAATGAAGAATATTTAATTTAGATATTATATTAGTTATATTATTGTACATTTGTACAATATATTGATATCAAATATACTTGGTGATATTGTTGTTTTTCTAATATGAAGGTACGTAATTTACGATTTGCCACTATAAATATGCTTATCCGAGCATTCAAATTTAGATAGTTTATACATTTAAATTAGTTACCTTTGAATATTATAATTTATAAATATAATATACCATTATTATTTATTAGCTTTATACATTTATTAGCTAAGCTATATATATTGTCAATATTATCAAGTTTAAGGTAATACTAATGTATCATATGCAAAACAAATTACCTTACAATTAATTTTCAAATTAATAAGTCTATTAATGTATATAAGGAATAGTATAGGTCCTAAGACGGTACCTTGAGGAACACCACAGTTAACAGAAATTGAATAACTAAAGCACTCATTAATTCTAACTACCTGTGCTTAGTGTTTATTTGAAAGATGAGAATAGTGATAGAACAATTGTACGGATACCACAATACTTTAATTTCTTTATAAAAAATATTATAGTTGACCGACGAATCAAATGATCTTTTCAAATCAAGAAACATGCCTATATTACCTTATTTCTTTTATCCAGACTTGAATGAAGTCTGCAGTAGATCACCATTAGTTAGATATACCTTTCCTGAACCCACACTGACTATTAGAAAAAAAAAATTATGATAATTTAAAATTTGTACTAATCTATTTTTAAGAAATTTTTGAAATAGACAGAGTGAGAAACTGAGAGAGGTAGGTCTATAATCAGTTATATTTTCAGAAGCCCCTGATTTATATGAAGAAATGATAAGGGGTTTTTTAAAATTTTGTAGGAAATATTCCAGATGCCTTATGTTAAAAAAATATTTAAAGGTATCGATATAGTTTTTCATGTATTCTATTTACCAAAATCATTGGTTATTTATCAAAAAAAGAGTTATTTTCTTTTATGTTTATTGTATTTTCTACTATTTAATTTAAAGTAATATGTGTTAAGAAGATCGAGTCACTAATATGACATTTATCATTCATAAATATAATATTATGTGTCACCTTAAGGTATATCTTAGTTCGTGATGGGTGTACCGTGTACATTAATCAGCTGAATTTATTACTGAATCATCTATACGCTGATAAGAAATGATAATGATCTCCGACACCTGCTCTTGGATCGGTATGAAAAAAGTGTACATTGATGTAACACTTTTTTAAAACAAACATCGTGTACGACTACTCTATTTCAAAACGAACGCTTTGGTGTACACTTGATGTGAAATACAGTAGAATCTGCTTAAAGGGAACATTAATGACAGTCCCGAACGAATTGCATGTACAATTCTTCGGTAAATCGGGACAGTCGGGATAATGGGGACAAATAAGTCACCACCCGATGTGTCCCAATTAAGCGGATTCGACTGTATAATATTCATATTATACAATAATAAAATGGATTAACGTAAATTATTTATTTATCTCATAGTTTACCACTTTGCCCACCATATGTTTTCACTATGCCCTAGCAAAGTGAATAAAATTCCACTTTTAAAAATTTTTCATTTTATCATTAATTGAGTGATATAATTAAATTTTTTGAAGGAATAAATAATGAATTTGAGAAGTCAATTTATGATTATATTAATAAATAGTTAATGGTCTCCCCTACATTTGTCTTGTAACCATACGGAGTACGGACATACGAGATATTACGTACCCATATAATATTATCTATTCTTAAATTATGACTTATGCTATAGTTTCTACTTTCTTTGCGGCTCCTTTTAAGTTACCAAAAAATATAAAATAATAAAATAATAATACATCAATCATAAATGTATAAAAATAATATTTCTGGAAATTTATTATTTGTGTATTTTTTTTTTTTTTATAAACCCTATAGTTTGTATTTAATATGTAGGTACGTAACTAGGTGATTTTTCCATAATGCATTTGAAAATGTTATGAAATCAAATTAAAACAAATAAATAGGTAACAAATACAATTATAGTATTAAATAGTATTCAATTTGTATTTGAATTATGTTTAAAAACAAATCTACTGTGATATTTATTAAATATTATATTCTATAATTAATATGTAATATTATGCTGTTACATAAAGATAATTTTGAGTTTGTTAGTAGGTATACCTTCCTTCTTGCTAAACTCTGGAACTACTTATCCAAATTTTTGTGTGTTTAGATCTTTTTCTTTTAACCTGAAGAAATTGCTAATTGCTGTGGTTCGAAATCGAATTTCGTTTTAGATCACGAAAATCTAATACCTATTATTTTGTTAATGTATATGGTATATATGTATATAATACTACTTGCTATTGGTTAAAGTACTATATTTAATTTTATATATTAGAATACTAGGATAAGTAGGATTCGTATTGAAGCAATGAAAATATTTTAATTTTTAGAACAAAAATATAAAAAAGTGGGTAAGTGGATGACGTTCTGCTGTACAGTAGGTTACAAGTGGGTGATGTTAAATTTGAATGCAATGATATAAAACCATTGTGCAGGAATAACGGTTCAGAGGGAAGACGGTCTATCAGACTATAATATTACTAAGTAGGTATATTTTTATGATATTATTGTGATTAAAGTAATTAATAATAATTGTAGTATTGGGCATTAGTATATAGGTACAACGGTAGGTTATATTCATTTTTTCCAAAAAATTTACATTTGAAAATCTTATATTGTGTATTAAATATAATAATAATACACTATAAAAGTTTCATATATACCTACAAGAGTAATATTTTTAAGTTACAACTAAATAACTAAAATCGTTACTCTTAGTTTTAATATGTACTTTCATCGAAATTTAAATTTAAAATGTCTGTAAAAAATAACTGTGTTTTTATAATATAATATATTTATCTTTGGTAATAGTCTGAACTATTTATTAGAATCTTTGTTTTAAATTGTCAATACTTAGCTATAAATATCGAATATTTTATATTTTTATAATAAGTCATCAGTTATTAGTGGTATTTAATATTTAAAGGCAGTATATCGTGACTTTAATGCACTATTTTTAAGTAGGTGGGTCTAACACCACCATTTTTTCACCATAACATGAAATAGCGCCAATGCTAAGCCCCCAAACAATGATGAAAGACACAAAAATTAAAAACTAAAAAAGACATACATAATTATTGTAAAATCAAATGGTAAATAGTATTTCTATAACAAATAATTATGTATGTAACTAGATAGCGCTCATGTCGTATTAACAAATTCCGGATATTTACGGTCCGTGATATTACGGAGCATGTATTTTTGCTTTCCGGTATTTTACGGTCCTGTAATTTAAAGTCCGGGACATTACAGTCCGTGATATTATGGTTCAATATTTTTGAATTCCGTAAATTTACGGTCCGTATATTTACTTTTCTTGGGAATTTTTTTCCGGATTTTTACGGTCCGTG